TTATTGTTAAAGAAATAAGTTGTACAGTTTTATATTTAAAAAAAATTTAATAATGATGGACATTTTACATTTTGAAGAAATTATAAACAGTGATATGAAATAYAGCATAATGAGTTATGGTCAATGTAAACATATTAACTTTCTTTACTCACCAGATGGTAATAGAATTTTAAGAAAATTTTCAGCTAGTTATTAGTTATTACAATATAACAACAAAATCAGATTTACAAATTCGTCGATTATGGCTTTGTTATTCTATTTTATTAAACCATGTGTATTGTGAGACTTGTTGGTTGTTTGCAAACAGAAGAAAAGAATGATTTAAAAATAATTGGATTGTAGGTAAAAATTCATATATGCTTAAAATAGTACTACATTATAATGTTAAAAGTGTTACTCAAAATGATGTTATTTTGATAGAACACCAATTAATATAATATATATATTATATGATTACAATAATAGAATTGTTATTTAACATTTTTTTTTTTTTTTAATAAGGTGTGTACCAACCAGTATGTATTTTAGTTTAACATATTTTTACAAAAGGTTGATATTACCAATTTTTTTATACTTATATATAATAAAATTAGAAGTAGGTACTATTATAATTGCTAAAATTCTGATTAGTACAATTATCATATAATCATTATATTATAACATTATGTTTTTTTATGATGATAGTTATTAGTTATTACTCATCATTGTTAACGCCCATGAAATTGGATTCTTTTATGTTTATTTATTCAATAGGCTTGTATATTGTTTCTTAGTTCTTGTTCATAATTTTTAACCTTTACCAGTTCTATGTCACTAGAATTTTGTTAATATTTATTAAACTTATGCTCATGTTAATATTTACCTGGATTTATTTCTGTACTCTTGGCAGTATTTTTATTGTCTCTAGTAACGTAGAAATGAGACTTCACAAATTTTCTGTGTCAAATAATATTCCTGCTTCTTTTATCTTATAATTGTAAATATTGAGCCCATTTTTTTATCCAACATTTCTTTATTATATTATCTATCTCTTTTTTTACACTAAAGTATACTCCTAGCTATATCTTAGGGAATAGATTATATTGTTGAATCTAATATTATCACCTAAATAACCGAAAATACCAATTAATAGTATAAAAGTGAAGGATTGAAAACACAGAAATATCGAATATACCAAAATATCGGATGAATAATGTTTTCAATATACCTATACTCGACTACTCAGAGGCGGCACCAGGGGTGTGCCCAGGCTCATCTTAAAGTCTTCAGTCCCCCCGATGGCTCACCCCAAAAATTAAATTAAATCTTATTAAAATAATTTTATTAATAATTGTATTACAAATTCCATGAACGACAAGTTTAGATTTTTAATCAACTATAATAAAGAAAATACAACGAGAAAATCTATTCTATTTTTAGATAATTTTGGAATATTGCGTTGTCTTGTAAATCGATAGAATCAAGTAGCAGTTTTATCGATGACGACTCGCGATCTACTGTTATTTAAAATATGCTGTATTTTTTTTAATTTTGTRTAATCGTATATTCGTATCTTGAATGTATAGTTTATGCTATTGGCTATTGCACTATAATATGCAATGTTTTCTGGACATTTGAAAGTTAATTTTGTTCTTGATTGTAACTAAAATGTTTGGTGTTTAAGRTATTTTACTACTACGATTTTTCGCCATTTTACAAAGTATTCAAACAATTCAGTTATGTCTTTTATAACCTAAGCATTGATATTTAAAATTAACATTCATTAAATCAATATTTAATTAATTAACTATTTAAACGTTTATACTCGTCGTCATTTGTCATGTCAGAAAGCAATATCGAAAATAAGACCATTAAAAGATCCTGTATAGAATCACGATACACTAGTATCGTGGATACTAGGGGGTCGAAGCACACATATTTATTGTACAACCAATATCTGTATGATGTCAGGAAGGTGTTAAATACTTTATGACCTATTTTAATTCCAACCAAACATAAAAAAATTTCATCCGAATCGGTTAAGCCATATACTAACACGAGATTTTTATTACATTAGATTAAACACTATAGATACAAATCAATTCATCATTAAAATATTTTTATTATCAAACACAATATAATATTGGTAATTTTTAGTGGTGCTTGAATTGAAAAATCATTAAATAGAAGACCTCAATCCAATAATATTCTGTGAACTGTGTTATAAMTAAAAATTGCATTATACACTTATACACTTTATTATTTTTTTTTTTTAATATACTTCGCTCCCTCTGTTAAATAAATCTGAATCCGTCCCTGATTTTAACTGTATTATATTCCAAATATAATATATTTAATTACAGGTATTATACAGGTATTATACATGTTCACCATATTTTTTAATTTATATTAAAAGCAATAATACCTACACATTTCAGAAGAAAATAAAAAAATCATAATTATCAGTGATAATATCTTATAATTTGTGGTTCAGATGCATACCTTTGTCAATTATCAATACTACATTACAAATATTTGATAATGCAAAAGTTTACTGCACATAGTTATGCATGGGAAATAAAGCAAAACTGGCAGCAKAAGTTTTTTTTTTCTCATGGCCTACAAAGTTGACAAGAGGCGTGAAAATGTTGTTACTTACAAAAACAGTAGATTGGGAGTCAGAAAGATTGAATACCACTGGTCTAAACCATAAAATTATTATTAGAACTGTCTTCCTTCAAGCTCCTTAGTACCTAGCAATAGTTTAAGTTATAATTTAAAGTGCAGCAGTCATTAGTCATTACTGAATTACGAATTACCTATAGCTAACAAATATTCTTGAGACCGATAAAAACTGTGTTGTATGAAATGGAGGTATACATAATTGTTATTACTATTATTCTTAATAATTCCTTAGCTTTAAAGGCTTTAAATTATGATTAACAGTGAAATGAAATGAGTAATATTATGTAGTATAAAGTAAATGAATAAAGATAAAAATATCTTTTTTATTTAAAACATAATTTAGCTGTCCACAATTTCAAATAATAGGTAACAGGTTTTAGATTTTAAATGACAACTACAATAGGTATTCATTGTGATGGATAAGAATAAGAATATATTATATCATATATTATTAAAATTGGTTTTTAGCAGTAATAATAACAAATTTATATACTGATATTGGTTTAGTGTTCATTTATTGTTGCAAATTTTTATAGACACACTCTCTCACTTTTTAGCGAATTCGCTTGATAAAAGACTTAGTAGTTCTTTTATTACTTGCACACTCCAAGCTCTTCCCAGAAGTTTCTGGCGACTAGATATTGACAAATCTCCAATATCTGTAAAATGTGGAGGTAATCCAAAGATTGCTTCAATCTCTGTTATAAATAAGCCAGTGCATTGTCCGTCTTGACATACAGGATTTCTAGATCTGCCTGAAAAAAAAATGAAAAAACAAATTAATTAGTAAATTATAATAGTACTTCATAAATTATCAGCATACTATCTTGTAAGCAACTTCTTTTTGAAGTGATGGTACCAATTTTTACTACATTAGCCTGTCGGTCTAAATTCTTCTCTAAATAATCTTCAAGTTTTGAATCAATCATTTCATAGTCATCCATCTCCCGAGAATAAGCCAACTGTTTAATACCCGGGAAATTAGACCAAAAATATCGTCTACGTCGCTGTGGGCTGAAGTGTAATGAATCAAAAATAATTGGTTGATATTCAAAAAACCTAAATTAAAAATAATAATATTTCATAGTGTTAATTGATTTTAATTTAATTTGTTATATTCACTWATAGTTACTACAATTTACTTTGAAATGGTATCTCTATTTTTGATTTCCATRCTTGCCACATTTTCAAATAACCAATAAAAAGGTGTATTTTCTCTAGCAGCTTTTACACTAAGATAGTTCCAAACACGGTAAAAGTCAAAGAACAATATACCACTTCCATCTGGATCTAAAGTAAACACATTGACACTATAACCAATTCAGTTAAAATGATTTAGAAAATATTGCACTTGCACTCAATTATTGAGTACACCAAGCATAATGTTAATAGTAATAATAATTTAAAAGATATTTTAATTATYCATTTATAATTACTAAAAAGTCCTTTTTTTCGATAATTGACGCCAGATAGGTCAGCACATGGTGAACCACCGAAAAGCAGGTTTATTGGTGCAATTTTATCCAACATTTCTGTGGTTATTTCAGTGACCGAACCCAATTGTTTAATGTTGCCGGAAAAATGATATTTAGTTAACATTAAAGCATCTTTATCTATTTCACTAGCATAAATTACTTCAACATCAAACCCTAACTGCAACAATGAATAATACCCTACACATAAAAAAAAACACACATAATAAATGAAAATGTACTTGTGTTAATTATAGCAAAATATATATTATACTTATTTATCTATAGATTTTTATGTTGCAATTCTTTTTTTTATTACCTGTGCCAATTCCGTCAAAGAGAGACAATACTCTTAATCGTGGTAATTTTGATCCACTTGATGAAGGTAGTATTGCATTCTGCAAACAAATATTATAACATCATCATTTTATTGTATTTATTAACTATACATTATGATTTATCAAACATTACCAATTACCACCCCTTTTTATCTTTAATAACACAATTATTTATAATTCATTTTTTTTTGGAATTTTTAAATGTACTTAGAAACTATATTTTTGAATACTATTTAGGATTTTCATACAAACTAAAGAGTGTCCTCTGGTTAAATAAAAACTTAAAAAAAAAATAAAAAAACACCCCACCATTTTAATTCAAATTAATTAATACAGTTTTTTTTTTTTTATGCCGATGTATCTATTCAAAATCTAATCCATATTTAAACGAGTAGTTTTGGAGTTGGTTATCAAAATGTTTATTATAATGGAAATACCAAGGATAATAGTTCTTAAAAATGGTTTTACAAAAATATAAAATAGGTAATATTGGATATTAAAATGTTGTAATTATTAAAGTTTGACAATTTTTATAAATTAAAAATGTTTATGGATTACTTTTAGCATTGGTTAGTATTTATCATCAATGCTGTTAGTTATTATAATTTTCAAATCATTATAGCCACATATTTTTTTAAACCTATATTATCATGAGCCTAATAACATTAATAACAATAACTTGGATGCTAATCGTTTAAATGTTGATACACAAATAAATTGAAAAACATTAGTTTGTATTTAAAAAACATATTATAACTTATATATTTAAAAATTCCAAAAATAAAATTTTAAATAAACGTGTTATTAAATAAAAGGGTGTGAGCACTGGACATGAAGCAAGTATTAAGTATTTACTATAATTTAAAACATTCCAACTCTACAAATACAAACCTCATAGCCTTCTACTTCCATATCAGAAGATTGATTGTCAGCCATTTTTATTTGTCTTTATTGGTAGGTATCTAAATAACATAACATTTAGATTTTTATTTTGATATAAATAATACAAATACAATAAACTTAAAGGTTCATTTATAAAGAATATTAACATATAAATACATGATTTTTTTTAATACAAACTTATTCAGTTAAACTAAATCATACAAATCCATGAATTTGAATTAAAAACACATGATTTGGGTAATGTTGTATTCTGTTTTCAACAAATGTGAATAATAACTAATAATTAGACTTAGGTAAAATACTTTTAAAAGTATTATGGATACATATTCAGAATACTTAAAAAAAAATCTTCATAAAATAATAATACTTTAATATGATAATAATATTCCCAAGTATTCAAAATACTTCAAAAAGGTATTCATTCCAAATATTTTTYGAATACTTTTTTTAGTAGATTAAGTGATGTTTTATTAGATTTCAATGTGTAACAACAATTTTTTTATTTTAATTTATTGTTTAGAAATGAACATAATAATACTATCGATAATACACGCCGATCTGGTTATCTGTGGGTTATAAATTATACTCAAATTCAGTGGTGCAACTACTGCAACTCAGATCTATAGATCCTAAGGAGGACAGGGGTATACATTTAATAGATATAATAGGCATACAGATACCCATTAGATTATTAATTTTTTTTTTCTTTTTATTAGAAAATAATTATAGCAAAGCGATTACAATAGATTATTACTTATTATAGGGAAATTATGAAGTCATAACAATATCTTATCATCATTGCTAGCTCGTAACTACAAAATTTAAAAATAATATAACTGTCCCACTAAAAAAAGTAGAAAACAGAATAATATATTATTATAAAATATTTTGTATACATATACAAAAGMAATTTCTAAACAATGAAATTATTTTTAAAATGCGATTAGACGTTATAAAAGTATTCAGAATGTTGGTAAAATGTATTCAAAATACCGTATTAAATACTTTAAAAAAAAGTATTTTAAAAGTATTTGGAATACTATGCAAGTCTAATAATAATCAATTTTAACCTGTAAATTTCAATATCATAATATATTTAAAGGTATGAACATTATATATTATATTTAATATTCTAAAGCATTTTAGAAATTCCTAAAAATATAGCCATATTCACTTAGTCCTATTATAGTATTATTAGTAAAAGTTTGGATTGCACACCGAAATTGTATTGTCGCTACTGTCTCAGAAAAAGCAATGTATTACATACATATATATATATATATATGATAATTTAACAATGCAATTAAATATAACAACAAAATTTAGGAAATACTCAAATTTCCTAGTAGCTGGCATATTAATAAAGGTCCCAGAAGGCAGAAATGAATACTTAGACATTTTTTTTGAGCATAAAATTATGTCAACAATAATGTACCTACTTAACCTAGGTCATTAATGTTTTACCTATACTTCTATTATACAATTTATATACCGAATAAAATATGATCGTTTGTCTACACATTGCCTCATAACATTATACTACTTATTAGTCCATAGTCGTTTTATGGACTGATTGGGTAATTCAGTTATGAATAAGTAAGATTATTTATAATTCCCTACTTTTTGAATGAAAAATTAATGTAATGTGATAATAATTTCGATCAATGCAAATGAATTAATTTAAATAATAATATTTAATGTGACAAGGTCACATACTTAATATTAAAGTAGGGATTAAAACTATAATTAATTAATAATTCATACTATAGGAAATTTATAAATTTATAATAAACATAAATTTAACTATAAATAATTAGCTTAAATTTAAAAAATTTAAAGGGCCTTTTGTATGAGGTGATTGTTTAATGATTAAAAGGAGAAAAGGACATTATACCCACATATATTGTCTCCGTCTTATAAGTGCATAACATACCAAATTTTACGCTCAACAGATCAAGTTTAGCTCCACGAGTTTAAAATTTTGAGTGATTGACCTCTTAAAAAAATTAAAGGTAATTTTACTATGGAAGGCTTCTCCTAGGCTTTCTATTATATTTTAATTTTAAAGCGAGTTTTGAATATTATACATATTATATATACATATATATGATATACAAACAATTTACAATTTTAAAAAACTCATAACTCGCTTTCTAATTAAAAAATAATAAAAAGCCTAGGAGAAACCCTCCATAATAATGTTACCTTTGATTTTTATACGAGGTCAAATCACTTTAAGGGGGGCTGGAGCAACCATTATTTTTCATACATTTAGCTCAATAAGCGAAAGTAAATTAAACATATTTCCAGTAGCTCAATTTGAATTTTGAAAACTAATTTTGGTTTGTCTTCCTCTTTTCTAAGTTTGCTCGGAAGTGGAATCTTTTATTTTTCATTTTGTCGCTATCTACAACTAAGTCAAGTATAATTGATTTTTTTTTGAAAAAAATATAAAMTTACTATCCATCATATTATACTAACTAAAAATAAAGTCGTAAATCTACTTCCGAGCAAACCTAGAAAATAGACTGATTCAATCATGTTTTCAAAATTAATAAAAGTCAATCGAAACTAGGTGAATTTTTATTTCTCTTTTGATACTGTTCGCATCAAATTTCTGCCCTACAACCGGAGCGAAAATATTTTCTTCGTGTTCATTGACTTGTGCATGCGCGTATGGGCGTTAGAACATTTCTAAGAATCTTAGTAGTCAATACCCGTATCTGAACRATTATTATTCAATTAGAGCTAACGACTACGGAAATGAAATGATATTTGATAATGTATTGTAATTGAAAAGTATAAAATATATGGTAATAAGTAAATATATGTTACGACAAAATAAAATAGAATAATAGTCTACTCAGTCACTAGTTTCATACTACATCTAGACATCTAAACTAATAACTATTCAACCAGTGAAGTTTAATTTTTTTGTCAGTGATTATATAATTTTAAATTTTAAAATGAATGAAAATTTGCGTTTTGGTAAAAAAGCACGTCTCAAGCTATGTGCACCACGGAAAAAACCTAATTTGGCTAACTTAAAACGTAAAAARCGCRAAAATCATGAAAAAMATGAAGAGGTAATTATAATATATTGATTTTTTTACGAACTAACGRTAAATATAAATAATATATGAGATTATAAATTATAATTTTATTTTACTTTTATTAGTTATGAATATTTATGCATATAGGCATATAGCTAATTATTAGTATAATAAATACCTAAACAATTTTTTTTTAATTTTATACTTATATAGCTTAACACACTTAACAATTGAAGAAAAAGAAAAATTAAAAAATGATTTTTTTAAAAAGCTACAACTAGATAAAAATGAAWTTCGTGATCTAGAAAAAAGAACAGTAAGACAAAATCTATGTGAATAATGGCATTTAGAAAGGAAAAAAAGGTTTGTTTTAATTATTTTATTATATAAAACCATATTTGTATTTGTTGTTGCATAACTGCGTATTTCTTTAAACTTAAATAAGTTAACAGCGTCTGTATTCGGAAAAATATGTAAATTGCGTGAATCCACTTCCCGAGACAAAGTCGCCAAGGAATTGTTGTTTGGGACTTTTACCCGCGGTAATGCTGCCACCCGGTATGGAATCCAGTACGAAGACATGGCCAAAGAACAGTTACAAAAAGTCATAGGGAAAAATATAAAAAATGCAGGCCTTATAGATCATGGTCTATCATTTTTGGCAGCATCTCCTGATGGTCTTGTGGACAATAATGCTTTAGTTGAAAATAAGTGTCCAKCATCAGCGAAAAGTATGAGTCCAGAAGACGGAATTTCTATGAAAAAAATAAAATGTTGTGAAATAAAAGATGGGCAGCTGCATCTCAAACGTAATCACAACTATTATTACCAAGTACAAGGGCAATTGCACATTTCAAATAAATTATATTGCTATTTTTGTATTTGGACGCCTAAAGGTTTGTGGATACCTATATTTTWWATTTTTATGTATACTCATTATGGTTTATAATTTATTATGTATATTTATTATTTATATAGGTTTGATGAYGGAAAAAATAAAACGTGACGRCAGTTTTTGGGAAAACAAAATKAAAATGAAATTAAAAAMATTTTATTTAGAAAACATGTTGCCTCAAATACTTGCTGAAGGAATTAATTAAATATTATAAATATATAAAAAATAAATTATCATTATACCTAATACGAATTACGAGTATTCAGTTTTTTTTAAAATTATTATTATTGTTGTTTGTTTAATGATTTGTGATCAAAAATAATAATAAATACAGCAAAGTAATATAGTTATCAATAGTTACTAATTTTTATATTATGTAAATTAAATTTCTATGATACGGGTACGACGCGACTATATTACTATTATGAATGAATATTTATTATTTATAGTAGTTGTATAGAAAAATAATAATACATCTTTTTCCGATGAACGGAATCGTGCGGCATGGTTTATTTTGATTATTATCGTAAATCTGAGAATTCAAATTTTGTCGCGAAAATGCGATAATGGATTACACAGACTAATGCTTGTTTACTTCTCACACATTGACACAGCCAAAATGTTCATGTAATATGAAAAGCCTAAATACTACTCCTTAAAACACGGTATGCTTCAGCCCCCTTAAATTTTAAACTCRCGGAGTTAAACGTGGTCTGTTGAATATAAAATTTGCCATGTTATGCGCTTGTAAGACGGAGACAACACATGCGGGTATCGCGTCCTCCTAAAATCCAGCCATTACTTATTGAAACATCACTTGGATAAGTGCTACGTGGTTCGTGACAAATATTTAATATGAGAGCAGTGTTTAACAGGAGGCAAGGAGGGAATGCCATGGGGCAGCAAATTTTATGGTATTTGATGAGGCGACAAATTTTTGAGAATCAACATGAAATAAAAAATATAAAATTATATAATTATAATAATAATTTTCTTATGGGCGGCATATTTCAATTTTCCCCGGGGCAGCAACATAGCTCAACGAGGCACTATTTAATATAATTAACTCTATTGACTTCTAATTCTGCAAATAAGTTTATCTAGTTAATAAAAAGCAAGACAACAATAACTTAATTATTTCCATTTTATTTCAGGTAAACCAGAACGTACGGAACACTATAAATTGCAATAATTGTGGATCCCTAACATATAGAAATCATATTCTAAAATCAAAATTCAAAAATATTAAATAAAAAACAAATGAYAGACAGAATAATTTAATTTTTATAATATAATTATAAGAAAATAATGATTAGTTTACAATCTGTAACTCAGATAATAGATAGGTATATCATCAAATCATTTTTTTATTATTMGCGATACTAAGGTGTAAGTTAATTTTTTGTTTGAAATGATGTAAAATGTAAATGTATAAAATAAATGCTTTTACCTGATAACATAAAAAAAAAAAAAAACAATACTAGATCCTTCGTTCATCATTCAGAACACGTAATGGCTAATGTTCGTTTTTCAGTGAAAAATCTTTATACTTTTAATTTGAAAAAATGTACCTACCTAACCTATTTAGACTAATATTCTAGGTATAATAATAGTAACGATAAAATTCAACGTACCAATGTGTATTGCAAATAATCTTAAGTACGCAGGATGTGTTGCGTTATGATGCACTAGTGAAGGACACAAGTCTTGTGAGTTGTAGCTCGTAGGTCGCGGATTGATGGTAGCGAACGTCGAAGCACTCGGAGCAACAAATAATGAATGAATGTCGTAGTCGTACGGTACGACCATATAATAATGAGCAATGACTAATAATAATAATTAATAATATAAGCTATTGGAAATTTCCAACTGCGTTTCTGCCGTTTCTGCGGTCTGCACGCGAGGACTGAACAACGCCACAATTTAGGTATTACCCATTTACCCGACTGGTTTAAATTAAAGATATTCGATGCGACGGTGGCGGGGCGGTGGAAAYCCTGCTATTGTCGTCGCATGTCTCGTTTATACGAAAATAATAATAAGTTGTTTAAAAATAAACACTGAAGGCTCATAATATTAAATCCGTAACAAACTGTCTGATATTATTTCTGTAATATATACGGATTTCTATTAAAGCAAGCATGTAACACACAATAATATACACATTATTACATTTATACTACTTACAATCAATATCATTGTACACTTTATTTTAAATATTATTATGGCCCATGTGTAGTGTATGCGTGCGTGCGCGCGCGGCGCGCGTGTGTGTGTGTGTGTTTGTGACAATGTACGCTATAGAATCGTTATAGTTTTGAACGACTGGTTGGCGGGACTGCCGGGACTTAAAGCAGCGGTCGCCATTGCCAACCGTGGTCAATAGAAAAATTTAAACGATATTTGTAATATTATTTTATTAACATTCAAGCGAAGTATTTTTTTTTTCAGTAATTTGGTATAAGATTTATCAATGGAACGGTATTTATGTAAAACGTTAATTTAAGTAAGCTAAAACTGATCCATACAATTTAGACTTTAGAGTATGTTTGTGGTCCGCGAGGTTCAAAAGGYTAGACTATCAAGACATTAAAATGCGCAATAAATGAAATAAAACAAATTTAATTGTATAGTTTAAGTACAAAGTAATTTACGCGTACAGAAGCGCCTGCCATTGCATTGCATACACTGAGATTTTTTAATAAACAAAAAAAAAGGTATTCAATAAGTTTCGTAAATATTTGTTTTTTTCAAAATGACCTGGGACTTTTTATTTAAACGACCCAAAGGTCTTAATARATATGTTTAACAATTACATATATTTTATTCGTTTATGGAGTCAATAGTGACCTATAGATAATAATCTAGAGGTGGCCAACTTGCGGCTCGCGTATTATTAAAAAAAAAAACTAATATTTACTTATTGACAATAAAATACGATCAAATTATAAATATTATGAAATGTATTTATAAACATTTTGGCTCTTGATATCATTGTATTTATYCATGTACTCTTGGATGTATTCCATGTTGGCCACCCCTGTAATAAGCTAATTCGTACGATTTTAGATGCTTAAAACGTCTAATATCCTTGTATAAAAAAAGTTAGGATATCTAAACTAACTTTTTTTTTATAGTTATCTAATTACATGATAATCTATCTTCGTCTTGTGTTTGCGAGCAAGTCTTTGGATTTCGTCTGCTATTATAGGCAGCATCATAATATTCACGGTAAATTGCATTGTTTCTTTCGAACCGGTAGGCTGCAGTTATAGTCTAAAGGGCGTTGTTTTAACAATTTTGTTTTACATCGATGTTAGACTTAATGGCAGTGTCATTAAGGGATGTAGTGGAGGGTAAGTACATTTAAATGTTTTCTTCTGTATTTTACACWAATGTTTATCATTCATATACTTAAAAATAGTCATAATGTTCCTATTATATTTTGCTTATTACAAAATAAAAATTATGAAACCTAAATATATAAATATACTTCTCATAAAATAAATAATTGACGGCAACGACAAAATAAAGCTTACATCAAGTACTATAAGAAATAGAACAATTTGTTGTTACAATTATTTGTCCTGCAAAATTGTTGGCCGAAWATCCTGTACAAAATAAAAGATATGTGCGTACACGGTTATCTACCCTACACATGTACGATAACATATTATTATTGATTATTTGTTTTGTAGACGCGTCGTTTTGAAATATATCGCCACCCTCGCGGGGGTATAAACATATTCCTACCTAATATAAAATAATATGTTACATTATGTTATACGATAACAATAATAATAATAATAATAATAATTACAATAACATTACAAACACGCGTACACAATGTAAACGTTTCGGAAAACACAAATGTTATTGTTTCATTTTTTCATAATTTTTTTGTATACGGAACGCCGTTTGCGGCACGTGTCAGCTCGGAAGACCAGGAAGAGTCTAGTTACATTTTTATTGATAAAACCGACGGGCTTATTAGTATCAAACGACCAGACATGACAGCCGACGGGCCGTCTCCCACGCGGATCTCCGCCGCCGTCCGACGGGCCACGCGACGCTATTGTTGTTTACACACAAATTACACATTGAACTTACATCGCCGCCGCCGCCACCGCGTCAATCATAGCGAAGGACAGTGTTATCGTATCCTATCCTATCCTATCGTTTTTTTGTTTTTTATTTTTATTTTTATTTTTTTAACGGGCGACGGCGTTTTGGGAACAKTGAAAACCCAGCTGGGCGAAATTCAACGTCGTCGTATTTTTTAACCTCATCACAGGGCTGCGGATCAGACTTGATGCAAGGTTACACACGCGTAATGGGTATTAATGGTATTATGGTCGTCGAAAGATGATTCGGAATGGCYGAGAAGGACGTTTGCTGAATTATGTTAATCGTAGGAAAGAAAAATAAACCGTTTTGGTTGATTTAACGGCCCATATTAGTTATAATTAATGACGCTTGTGTAATAATGAAGCTTTCAGGACCGTCCTTAGAGGGTTCGTGGGAGAGGTGTCTAACCAACTCATCATCACGAATTACAATTTTTTAATATTTGGTCGGCACATATAACACAACACTTGGTCAAAGTTTTCGGCATCATCAATATTTTATTGTTTAAAAAAAAATGTTCGTATGCATTAATATATTTTATATGTATACGAAACAACAACGACAACGACGACGACATATTATTTTCATTTTTCGATTACATAGATGAGTTTATCTACAACACTTCAACCATCAGTATTGAAGAATCATAACTAGCACAATATGCTATAAATACTGTACAATATCCATATTTTATCGATTTATTATCGGTTCTATAAAAATATTAGAATCTGAGCGGAGCAATGAATATGTTTATTTTACATTGTTTTGTTTTAAATTTTTTTTCTAATTAAATTTGTCGCTTTAACTTTTGGGAAAATACTTCAATTTTCTGTATGTAAGTTAATCAGATACTAAAACACAAAATTGGTTTTCGGAAAAATCGATTGATGCTTTTGGTATTTAAAATAATAAAACCTAACTTATGCCAATGGGGGGGCCGAGGCCCTTCGGGCCCCCCCTTAAATCTGCCACTGTAGTAGATACACAATTTTAGTGTAAACTGCAACTATTTATTACTTAAAACTTGGCAATTGGCTTCTAAACTAACTTTCCCATCTCTTAACGTAACAAAACGCCATGAAAATGTTTAATAAAATAGGTAGTAGAAAACATGTAGGTTGTTAAAAATATACACGATTTTCAAACTATTTCAAATTAATTACATAAAATTAAATTGTCTATTTATATGCATTAGATAGATCTATTACATGTATTAAATTAATTTTATCCTGCTAGTAGAAAAATAGCAAAATAATTGTAATACATTTACTAATTTATTATAAAACATCAATATTTTTCTATATTATAGTCATAACTCATAGGCGTGATATGGCAATACACTCATATTATAATTATATTACCATACCGCATACACACAACAACATTGTTACTATATTTTATATACAAATAGTTATAATAAAAAATCAACTAGCGTAATACATCAGAACAAAAAAAAATGCATTGAATTATTTATTCGACAGTTCTAGAATTACATTAAAGTGGAACATTAAGATATACCTTTCTATATATAGTTTTATTATACATTTATATTGAACATTACTTCCATACTCACCACCTTACACACATAATAATTAAATGACTTGAGTTATGATATTGCAGAATGGAGAAAATCTGGGAAATGGGATTGGATACTGGAATCGTATACAAATAACCCTGATGAAGACATGCGGCTCGTTCTCGTCATACGCGTGAACCACAAACGTCATCGCGAACACGTATTTTCTGATGACTGATATGGTAATATTCCAATTCCTATTATTTCCATAGTTGTACTATGGAGATTTCCTGAACACAATTATTGTACAATAGATTTCACCATTGATTATAAATACTATGAATAAAAAATAGTTTTGCATTTTTATATAAAAATCGTATCGTTCATTATACTGTGACCGGGATAATAATTGTTGTGTGRCAATAATATTACGATTTTCACTCGTCAGGATCATTATCACAGCGAAATTTTATAAGGGTACAATAATCATATTATAATGCACAATGAGTCTGTTATAATGATGCGTAAATTAATTAATTTCGACCGGATAGGTAGCTAGTGCATGATGAAAATGGTATTAATAACATAATTGGCCCTGAGCGTTGTCGACGACGATGCGCGGTTAGAAATTTAATTTTTTCAAAAAACCGAAGCCTATTATAGGCTTATTATTGTTGTATAATATTCAGACCGGTTGGCGCGACGAGTGCGAAATTATTCTACTTCGGCCGTATAGATACATAGATAGTATGTATAATATAGCGGTTAGAGCCCTCGCTTTCGATTTTCATTCATACATATTCATTCGCACTCGTGGCGCGTACGTCACAATAATAATAATGACATATAATACGATTTTAGATTATGTATAATAATATGTAATACATTGCGTGACATAAAATTAATTTAAATATAATAAYATGAGAATATGACTCAACTAGTCATCTGTATTATTATTATYAGTCCATTCTGTCCTGTATCACGCGAGATTACGTTGTCYACATCGATYGCGGCSGTGACTCGTGCTATGGTTTATACGGGCACGTGYCCTACCTAAAAATTTGAAAAATAAATACATTTATTTAAAAATTTTCACTAAATTATAAATTAATTTAAAATTAATTATTTCCTAAATTCTATAAAAATATTTAGTTGGTATAAATATGAATTCGACAATATTATTATCGTAATAAAAATAAAGGTTAGAATGCGGGCGTTCTTACCTACAAGTCTACGACACGTACTTAGTTTGCGAACTCTAATGTTTTTTATAGGCGGCAATCACAATAATT